CCCCCCCCCCAGCTACCGCCAACAGCGCCAACGACGACCAGGCCATACAACTCCAACTGCTGCTGCTCATGGCCGCGCTGCTGCTTCTCATCTCCCTTCTCTTGATGCAGCCCGGAACCCGCCTAGACGCCGAAGGTGCAGTAAGTGCCATCACGCTGCACCAAGCTGGCTGGAGTTGGGTTCGAAGGCAACGCCGCCGTTCGGGGGCGTAGGAACAACCTGATTGCGGGGCGACGATACACATACCCGAGACAAGAAGAGAAAAAATGGGCATCAAACAGCACCAGCTGAGTCGGAACACGAACAAATAAAACATGCCTCCAGTGTTTTAGACGGTGTTACAGCGGTGGATACATGTCGGCAAAACTGATGTCTAATGCAAGAAACATACAATATACATGTACAAGTACGATTTGAGAGTCTTCAAAGAACGATAAAAAGTTTAGGGGGAATAGAACAAGAACAACGGACGCAAGGCCCTATCCCTAACCCTTACCCAACTTCTCCGATTGCATGCCCTATGCAACAGTCACTTGCAAATCGAAAAACCCTGCCAAGGTTACAGCGCTGTCAACGGGCTTGTGTCATGGACATTGCTGCGGTATTTCTACCTTACTAGAACTAGTATTTGTTTTGTGTCCGAGATGCTGACCCTCTCGACGAGACAGGCACTACCGTGTTCTACAGCAGCACTGCCGTGCACACTATTTATAGCAGCCAGAAGCACGAATTTTACATGCTTCCGTACGAAGTACAGCAGCATTTTGAACCATCTACATGCAAGTAGTGCCGGGGGTGCAAAACGCAACAACGCGCCTTTAATGCTCGACTTACAATACGGCCATAGGATACGTAGATGCATGTACTGTACTACATGGAAGCCGAGAGAGGTCCGCACAGTACAGAACCGCAGGAGGGGGGTCCAACCCCCCCCTTCTATGTGACCCCGGTTGGGTCGTCTAGCCAGTAGAAGTGGAGGATAGGGGCCAGAGGGGCAGACGGCAGAGTCCAATGATGGGAGAGAAACAAACAAAAAAAACAAACAAAAAGTACAGCCAAAACTTACGGCCTGCACCAAGCTGGTGCTGCTGCTGTCAGAAACACTGGGCTCCTTGTTGTTGTTGTTGTTGTTGATTGTTTTCACTCTAAAAAAATCGTTCCGGTCTCCGCTCAGTAGCTTCTAATGTCCGTACTGGTCCAACTGACGCGGACGCCTTCCGTGGTTACAAGCCAACTGCCCCACGCACGGGGGCGTACACCTTGAAAGGAAAATAAATCCCGTTTGAAGACTCTGCTGAAGCTCTCGGCTTGTCACATGTATATATACCACGTGTTGAGAACCATCCGCATGGCATGAATGCCATCATCTTGTCTCTGTGCCTCGCGGGCACGCCCTGGAGCGGCCCAAACTATTTCTTCGTGTAACAATGTCGTGTCTGCGTCCAACCAGAGAGGGTTGCTTTTTACTACGATACGTCTTCGTACAAATATTGCACTCAAAGGCGGAGACATTCTGGGCACGAAGAAAAATACTTTCTGGAGAATGGGGGGCGTATAAGTGATTGTGTGCCTCTCGCGCCTACCGCTGCCGCTGCTGCTGCTGCTGCGTGAAGGTGTCAACGATGGCTTACATTCTGAGAATAACCTTGGCAGTAGCAGTACATCGGTCGTGGTTTCCTGCCCGCCTACCTTCATATCTCATGCGCCGCTGCTCTCCGCTGCCAACCCTGCTGTGTGGTTAATGTATTGTCTGCCTGCTGTCCTGCTGATCTCACCTTACCGGTGTTGTTCTGTCTGAATCGCGCAGGCGGGGAGATCGCTCCCGATGTGTCCGAAAGAAAGCTATACACCTTCGAGTCAGCTGGCGGGCGTGGAGGGTGGGGCAGGCGGGAGGGAGGATCATGAGGGGTCGATTATCAGGACAAGGCGTTCGACGTCTCGGGTACAGCACAACCTCTAACCATGCCAATTCATCCGCGCCTCTCCTTTTCCCCCCTCCGCAAATCGTGCGTTGCAAAGCGCAAGAGATCCACAAACACGGGGAGGAGAGAACAGCAAAACTGGTGAAGGGGTAGAGCGAGAGAGCGAATACCCCCACGCACCCACGGGCTGAGAGCGCAATTGGGGGCGAAAACACGAACGGAGGCTAAGCCAGACGTACCTCGGGAGCGCAGCCACGGCCAACAGCAAAAATATAGAAGCGTGTGTCCTGCCCGCCCTGTTCCTGTCTCTCGTTTCATTCTCTTGCACGAAGGGGGATCTCAAGATGTACAAATCACCATACGCACCAACAAGCGACTTCACGGGGCGTTTGATATAGAAAATGTAACGGGTTTCACTAGGAACAGATGGTCTTGACAGAGGGGGGAGACATCTGAGAACATGCCGAGCAAAAAAAAGGAAAAACGAAGAAAAAGACGGATGGAGGTGCATACGATAGCCGTGCTTTGGTTGTGTTGGTGGATGAAAACCGGCCCGCACAGCCAGCAACCAACTGAGCACCTTGCTTCGAACGCTGCTAATACAAGCACACCGCTGGTTCCCTGCGGGTGCTCACGGCAGACCCAGTTCGTCAGCCAAGTAGATGCCGCGCAACCAAGCCGGCTTCCTGCCCAACAGCAGCAGTACGGGAAGAAGCACCTCGCCCGTCATGTCACCGCAGGACGAGGAATTACCCGACGCCAGGCTGCTGGGCCAAGCCGAGGATGACCAAATCAGCAAGGCAGAGTCAGGGGTCGGGGCTAAGTGAGTCTTGCGGACAGGGCTTGTGTTCAAGGGGGGACACCAAGCGTCCCCCACTTTCACAGCAGTGTTTTTAGTGTTACGCGGAAGCTGGAAAACCGGGTGTTCTTGCTCGTCCTCTCATCTCCTCGAGTGAGTAAGGAGCACGCTGGCACACGAAAGTCAAGTACAGCAAGAAGTATATATTTTTTTATAGGTTTCTCCGCTCAACGACCCTCTATCTGGTGCTGTGCGCAGCGCGAATAGCTGGCGTCCAAGCGAAGAAGCGCATCCATTAGCAGGAGTCAACGCGTCCGTTAGCAAGAGACCAGGGGGGTGATTAAAAACTGACCATGCATAGCTATAATACTGCTGTAGCGCCGATTTTGTCCGCTCTCTCACTGTCGCTGGTTGCTACCTTTTCCGAAGGGCGGAGTGTTTTCCCGACAGCGGCAAGCACCTGTCACACACTCCACGTATTCATATGGATATGCATGGTATGTGCATACGCAGCAGGGTAGTATGTACGATACTTCGCCGTTTCGCTGAGACGTTGCTACACGACAAAAGTACGATGCCCTGTCTAAACAGGACTCTCTGTAAGCTATTGTTCCTGCTGTTATCGCGCAATACGTCCGACGGTTGTTGTTGTTGTTGTTGTTGTTGTTTCTCACATTAGCTCTACAGCAGTACGCAAAAAATGGGGGGCCCGTGGTCTCACAACCCGGCACATACGACGCCGCGGGGAAACGGTGTACATGCGCATATGAAAACTAACGTAACACGCATGCCTTGCCTTGGGCCGGTCCTCCTCCTTCCACAATCCAATCCAATCAAGAGCCAAGCCTGTCCTGACAAACCTGCATGTCATATGCGTTGAATAATTCGAAGCCTGGTACTGCGGGTGCTCGGTGGCACATGCACTGCTGTCCTCGCCCACCTACACCAGCTACAGCTTATCCATCCCTGAGCTGTCCCATCCGAAAACACTTGCGCACCTGCCTACAACCATGGTACCCGTATGCTTACAACCACGGTACCCCTCGCCACCCCCACCCCTTTGTTGACGTTAAGACAAGACATTTGGGTATTGCTGTGCTCCAAAGTAGAGTAGGCATTGACCTCGCGGCTAGATCCAGTGGGTTTTCTACGATAAAGTAGAGAGCGTTCCCCGACGTAGAAACAGCAGTGCTCCGTCCCGCGAGATGTGTGTGATCCCGTGCGTGGCCGATGACACAGGGACTAACCCCCCCCCACCCCACCCCACCCGGTGTTTGCCATCGGGATTGGGTTTTCGTCGCTTGGCAACGACGTTGTAAAACAAGCCAATTCACTTCGTGAACTCGGCAACCAGGTTACCTTTTTTTTTTTACCTCCGTTTTTTTTTTTGGCGGTAACCATAGTGGTGGTCGAGTAGATCATGTTGTGCGGGGTGGAGAACCCTCACTCCGCGCAAGGGGGATGATCGCACAACGTTGTGTTAATGTGGTCAAGCACCCTCGAGGCAGTTATACAGTGCTTACAACTGTCTCAGGAAGT